CGCTTATGGAAATAGATGAAAATCGAGGGGTTCTTATGGGAACTTATTAAATTCTAGAGGCACTTTTTGAATGAAAAATTATTATATAAGAACATTACAAATGGTGGTGCGGCGGAAAAGATAATCCTCCAGAGAACATGGCTTATGACAAGAATGCTGTGAATATTTGACAGCAGAATAGCAAATGCAATTAGTGGTGGTGGGTAATGGTTAGCTTTTTGGCCATCGGCCGATTGAGATTAGCAGGATGGCAGGATCATTGCAGGTTTTCTTGAAAACTCAGATGAGAATGTGCTAAAGGTGCAAATTGTCGGAAAAAGAAAAAGAGGAGTTGGACTAGGCCTAGACAAATATATAAGAAGAGAAAAGTTGGAAATATACTGTCTGTCCAGGGATCGGATCTCTTATCTGTACAAGAGAAATATCCTCATTTTGATACCGACCTAAGAAGAATGGTATTCCACTCTGCAGCTCAAATCTTGCCAACAACCACAGTCCCAGGATTGATTGGATTATTGACTTGCTTAAAAAAAAATCTTATGAAATTAGAAGAGGGCGCTTATTCAAACAGGGCGCTTAAGGACATTTTTGCGTTAGGATGGTCGCTTCTTCAAACGGGGCGCTTATTTGCGCGAGTACGGTATTTGTAGTTGATGATGCATGTGAATTCGGGCACTCAATGTGTCATACGACGGTCGCACGACGAATCCAGCTACACTTCCTCTGAGCGCTAGACGACCCGACGCCGTTTGCTGATTGTCGCTGGAAGTCTGAACGGGTCGTCATAAAAACGATCCGTTGCGATCGCGTCATGACGTTGTTTTCTTCATAGAACCGCGTTGGCTGACGACCGTCGGGCGCAGTCAGTAAGTGCCCGGCTTTACTAATGCAAAGACATTGCAAGTGACAACAGCCAATTCCGTCTATGAGAGCCAGATAATTCCCAGTATCTGACAACGTTCGTTCACCAGAAACAAGCTTCATTAAGGTCTCCTCCATACTACGGTACGTGTGTTAACACCCCACCCTCCACCCAAGGACCAAGTTTCTCGGCCAATATGGTTGTTTGTTGTACCATGGTTCTATAATCCGTCTCGAACTTCCACTCTTAAATCGCGTCGGTCGACCACCATCAGGGTGTGTGTACAGCTTAACGTTGGTTGTTGGTCTGACCGGCAGTAAAATAGCTCGTCGTTGTCCCCAGGTCCGGCTAACCTTACAGTATTTCTTCCCAACGTATAGTTTATTTGTATATTAATCGTTGTTGCGTGGAAATACTTTATTTATGTTTCAGACATTGATATACAACTTAATTACATAGTCAATAAAGTTACCAACTTGAACTTCTTTACACTAAATGCCACATTCCCGTTTTAGAAGCAACTCATTAATGTTCATTTGAGCCATTAGAGAATACAAGTATCACGTTTCTTTTTCTTTTTTTTACAATCAGTTATGATCATAATAAGTTATACATTTATTTTTAAATTAAATCATTGGCTTGACAATTAAATCCAAAGCGTTCTAAATTGTGTTTTTCTACTAATATTCACAGGAATGAAGTTCAAGTTTCCTTGAAATTGAACTTTCGCTAAAAACGTAACTGATACCGTAATGTATGTTAGTATTGTATACTAATGCTAAACTGAAGAGATCTGTATACAGCAAATGCAATTGTTTAAAGTTTGTGACACATTTGATATTTACACGATTGACGTGATTTAAGAGGGAGATGGAAACTTATTAATTCTAAATTCTAACGACTGATTTAATGCTTGATTTAGGGACAGCAGTATATCCATCTCCATCTTAATTATTTCTTCTTTTTTTTGTCATCATGCATGCATAACCTAAATGAGCCAATAGGCGCATTGAATCACCATCATCATCATCGTCGTCGTCATCCTCATCATCATAGTCGTCGTCGTTATCATCATCACCATCATCATTGTCGTCGTTATCATCATCATATCATCGTTGACATTATCATTCGTCATAATCATCATCAAAATCATTATCATTGTTATTTATTATCATCAGCATTATTATTACTATTATTATTTAGTATTTGATATTATTACTGTATTATTATTAATATTGTTATTATTAGGCCTATTATTATTATTAATATTGTTTTATATTATAATAGGCATATTATTTTATTCTATTATTAAAGTGATATCACTTCTGCATTGAGTCTGCAGTACATAATATTGTGACTTTTTTGTATAAGGACATTGACAGACGTGTTCCTTCTTGGAGTTAATGAATGTTATATTCATCTGTAAATCTGTAATACTTTACTGTCAACGGATGAACGTTTACATCACAAGATCACACAATAACCTTCCAGAACATCAGCAATTTAAAGTGAATTAAGTGCTTCTTTCTAATCGTTGCTAATCATTATTTTACGAACAAACCCCTCTTGACCCTTTTCATCATGTAACCGGCGCCAGATTGGTCAATTGTTTTCTGGTCATGCTCTGATTGGCTAGTTAGTATCACTTAGTTCGTCAATACTGAGACAGTAATGAGATCTTGCATTATAAGAATAATAGGTCATAATTTGTTAATTTACCATGCTCCTGTTTTGACATTGCATACTGGCTCGGTGACCCCCGTCTTATTAATGTTGTCATAGCCCATTTAAATAACCATTATGTTTTTCATTAGCGTTTAGTTTCACGTATATTTCAAATATAGCCTTAAGGCCTTTAGTAAAAACGTTTTTGTCTACCTCGACAACAATTATCTCTACACTAGAGTTAATATAAACTAACTTGAAAAGGAGAAAGGGGAAGATTGTGTTACAATTAGCCATTATTGTCTTGGTGGAGAGAATGTTTAATGTTTTAGTATTGACGCTTTAAACAAACGAAGAGTGTAGTTTGATAAGTTGAGAGTGAATGATACAGTAAGTTCATTCTCAAAACAAAAACAGGAACATCATTTATACTAAAGATGTGTGAAAAATAAGAGTAATTGCCTTTGGTTATTAAAGACACATTATATTGTACTTGTTATGTTACCCAAGTGGGACCTGTTAGTACATACAGTACTGCCCCCTTGTGTTCAGCACGTAATTGTGTTTGCGTAATCAACCAAGATGGTACATCAGGATGGACATGAGTGTGAAAGTGACATCCTCAAATTGAGGTTACAACTACCTGTCGAGTCGGCCTATACACAAAACTACGGTATATTTCGAGGTTACCTACAGCCTCCTTTGAATTAAAATAGTATATTATACCATGTCATTTCAATTCAAATCATTCATAAACCAAAAAGTCCTTGACATTTTAAACAACATCTAACTTAGATGAGGCATTAGGCGCACCTCTTGGATATTGTTGCTAATGTCTACAAAACAACAGCCGTAGCGTGAACTTGTGCGTTTGTGTGGAAAGCGCGTATTTCAATTAGCGTATTTCTGGCCCCGCCTATTGAATGACACTATTTGATTGGTCAGAAGCCGAATAAGGCACTATATCTACTTTTTTTTCCCCGCACATAATTACGCTTACGATGAGTGGTGGCAGGTGCTTCTCTTTAATTAACACATTCGAGTGTTAATATAAGTGAATAAATTCATATCAATCGCTGGTAATATTTAAAGTGTTGATGTTATTCGTTCGTCCATAAGTAGACAAGTAGGCCCATCCCAGGCCTCCATCTGTAGTGAACTCTAAAATTTTCAATGAATAAATATTGATGGTCACTATCAATTAATGTTTGATATTCACGTGTCACAGAATTCACAGCTGTCTTTGCTTTTATGTGTTACGGCATCTGTCCAATTCATATTATAATAGGAGTATTCATTGTGTTATGATCATGTAAATTTATTGAATTTCAGAATTAATAACTTGCCATTAGTCCTCCATGGGAGTAGTTTCTCATATACTACCCTCTGGTGAGATATAAAAATACCAGTTTATCAACTTCTTGTGAATTGTGAAACTCAGATTGACACAATTTTTACTGATTTATACATGGACCTACAATACTTTTTAATATGTAATGCTTAAAGTGATACGGTACCAGTAAATGTAAGATTCCATTCACCGTAAGGCTTCTGTTAATTGTAAAGAAAAATATATAAATAATCATGCAGAAAAAACATAGATGAAGTGCCTTACTTAAGAGGCAATGTGACTCAGAATCATGACCCTTCATTCAAAATACATAGTAAAACACGCTTTAATCATGTGCTATCATTATTATTATACCGTAAAACCTCGAACTGAAGCCCTGGCTTTCTTCTTTTCTTTGCGAACTTCTTTTCAAGATGGGCTTCTTTTGGAAACTAATTTTGCAAAGTAAAGAGATGGCTTCTTTTCAAAATGAATGCTGTAAATTTTGTGAATTTGTATTATAAAACAATAAATATTACACAACAATCTGTATTACGGAGTGTATTTAACTGGCATTAAATCACCTACACTTATACTGTATAAACCAAGCTTGTATTTTTTTTTCTCTGAAATTAGTGTATAGTGTATGTGACTGTATTATTTCGAACAGAAGCCTATGGTAATTTTAATAGAAACCTATGGGCTTCTTTTCGAGGCTAATTTTGCAAACTAAAAAGGGGGCTTCAATTCGAGGTTTTACGGTAGTATGTTATGTTATCGTATCTTATATGCTGTGGCGTGACACGCGTCACGTTGCATGCCGTTACGTCTCGTTTCATTTCATTTAAATGAATTATATACTAATAAGTAATTATTTCACAGTAATAAGTAATTATTATAAAACCATAATATGCTCTATCCAAATTATTGCACGAAGGTTAGATTAATGCATAAAAAATACCTAAATGTTTTATTCTAACCAAAGTGAAATTAGTTCGTCTAGAAGCGTATTGGATACCGTACTACTCGTAAGTCAACCAGCTTACCTGTGATACGACCACTATATTTAAATACAGGTACATTATTACTTTTATAAATAGTTTCTCCCCTTCAATGCTGACAGTAAATTTTATTTTCTTTTAGTTGTTGTAATGTGTGCAAACAACGATGCAATCCGGGCCATAATGCTTAAAGCCTATGATATGGGCATGACCACAGGGGAATACGCATTTTTCAACATTCAGCTTTTCGACAGCGACTATTTCGGCGACTCTGGCTGGAGACGAAATGACGAAAATGACGAGAAAGCTAAGGAAGCGTATCGGGCGATGATGACGCTTACCCTTCGGAAGCCCGACTCTCCGGAATATAAAAACTTCTCCATTGAGGTAAAGGAACATGCGCTGAAAAAATACGGGTACAGTTTCGAGAAGCACCATCAAGAAGTAAGTTTGGTGGTTTGTTGTATAATATTTTTATGAAATGACATGAGGAGAGGATAATGATTTTGTAGCTGGCGTTGACGATAATGCCGATGATGATGAGGAGAATAATGATGATAATTTATTATAAATTTCACTTCTGAAATTGATTGCTCACTAATTGTTAATTAGGCCTACAGTGATGTTCTATTCAACTATTTTTTGAGGTTGATATTCAAATTCCACTTAAGAGAAATTCATATCGTCATGATTAAAGTCAAAACGAAAAGTCAATGTTTACAGGGCGCTATGTCCATCGCGTTGCGAGTTATGCAGTCAAGCAAGAGAGGTTGCCGAAACTGTCGCTTTTCTATGTATATTTTATAATTGTAAGTTCAGTTGATGTATAGTGAATCTGCTAAATACACATAGACAGTGGTAAGAAAATGGGCAGCGCTGACAAATATCAAAATTCTTAAATACATATGATAAGGAATGTTAATCCTAAGTTAAGACTCGTCTGATCCAGATTCATGCCAATAAAACACTGCATAATCTCATAATCGCGTAGAAAATGTAGTCCTACTCAAAATATATTAGGTACAAAAATGAACTGTTATAGTTCATCCCTGATGATGACATAATTAATGTCGAAATATTGAATCCCGACACGATGACGTGAATTTCGATACTTGGAGTATGTATTTTACTACCGTATCTTATTTGGACTGTTATAGGGTACCTGTCATATTGACAGGCATTTGTAAACCCACCGTATGAGGTCTTCAATGTGTCTGTTTTATACCAGGTTCCAAACCGATTGTAAAAGGAGAAAATAATAAGGATCGAATTTTAAAAAAATCCTTGACCTTCTCAAGATTATGTGATATACCTGAAAGATTACATAGATTGGCTGTCGTGCATTTACTTCATCGTTACTATAGACAGGTATCAAGTGAAATGACGTCATAACATATATACTGGTATTCTCAATTGTTTTATTGTTTCTAAAGGAAGAAATCAAAATGTTTTGAATCACAACCGATTTTTACTACACGTGCTTTACCAAGTTATTAATAATTATCATAAACGGGTCTTAACGGAATGAATTTTAAAGACAATCGAGAATTTATAGCCGTGTCTGTCGGTGAATTGATTGCCTTTTATTAGTGTTAGAGACATAATAGATTGCGATATCTAGTTTGCAGTTAGAAGTTAAGGAGATTTTTCGAAAGCAATGAGTGATCCTCTTGAGTCGTTATTCTAATTATAATTGCTAGTATTGCTTTTAATTGTTTTTAATCAGAGACTATTGATAGCTCTGACCGTTGTAAAAAATATGAACCTGACATTAATCATAACGTCATTCCCATACCTTATATATCTTCTTGAATTATTACAATTTCAATATTATTTTAATCACGTATGCCAGGCGTTTCTTTGTGTTATTACCTTTCAATGAGCGTTCATTGTTCCCATGACAACTATACCACCAGAAATAAGGAGATTTATGCTATTCTAATGGATTTCGATCATACTTCTGACCAATCAATAGGCAGGGCCAGAAATACACGCTTTCCTCACAAACACCCAACTTTACGTTACGGCTAGCAACAATATCCAAAATGTGGGGCCTAATAATACTGCATAAGGTATGTTACGATTATGATGAGCGGTGCTCCTCTTTGATTAACACATTCACGGGAGGGTTAATATTAGTGAATAAATTTATCTGTATTGCTGGTAATAGGCCTATTTGGACTGTTGTTTATTCGTTCGCCCATAAGTACCGGTGTAGTCAAGTAGGCCCATTCCAGGCCTGCCATCTGTAGTAAAATCTAAAATTTTTAAATGAATAACATACAGATGGTCATTATCAAAATGTTTGATATTTACGTGTCATACAATTCACAACTGCTTTTTCCACATGTGTTACATTCGCAAACTTAAAACACGAGCAATTACGAGTGGGATCTCTTTTATGTGTTACAGCATCTGTCCGCATAAGAGCAATTCATATTAGAGTAACAGTATTCATGGTGATATTATCATGTAAATATTGAATTTCATAATTAATAACTTGTCATTAGTTTGTCCATATGAGTTGTTCCTCGCGCTACCCTCAGTTAAAACCTAAAAAATGCCAATTTATCAACTACTTGTGAATTATGAAACACAGATTGAAATAGTTTTTACTGATTTACACATTGACCTAACTTTACCCTTTACTTTAAAGTGATACGATAGGCCTACTAGTAAAAATTTAAGATATAATACATCATAATAGGAATTGTATTATTTAAGGCTTCTGTTAATTGAAAAAAATAAAAAAAATATTTTCCCATTTAATTTTATTTAAAAGTTACCTTTTACATAAAGAAATAACAAAACCGCAATGTTTGCTATTTTAGAGTGCATCGCAATGTTATTTATAATTAGTTTACATATCCTACCGGAAGAAATAATTATTACTACGGTATATTGTGATGATAATTCCCTGCGTAATTTCGTATTTGTTACATCGTTTCCACTACCATTAATCTGAATTACGGCGTCTCTCTCTCGTTATTATTGTTTTATATCTCTGCTATAAAATTTTTTTTTTGAATTACTTCAGTGGAAACTAAAATTATGAGAAAATGCATCAACTAAACTTACCTACATACCAATATTCAAGGCTGACAAATGGAAATTTATCCCATGCCTATAAAATATAACTGCGCATAATATTATCATATAAGAAATCGCCTGTAATAAGATCGGTAACAACATAAATATGTCTCGTTTGTCGTTGTCTTTAGTTACCTACAGACGTGTGTACCTCTTCTTGTAATTTATTTACCCAGTGAACATATTTCTATATAATTCCACGGAATATTCATCACTATACGCGCTTGACAGATATGCTTTGAACTTGAAATCACTGCGTATAATGCTAAATCGATGTTAAGCCCATCTAAAGTTGTGTGGGTGGATGAGAGGGATTACATATTATTCCACGCTTTCATTCCTGGAAATAATAAAATAAATACATATGGCCTATGTTATTTTGCATTGATACACACTTTTGGTTGGTGGACGGATTTTCAGATTATGATTGGCATAATGAAACTAATCCTTAATGTGATCAATATTTAGTAGGCATATGCACTATAACATTGGGCAACGGTCCATTTTAACACGCATGTTGGATTTGCAATCATCAGATTTAATGTCCACGAGTATACGCTAATTTGTTAATGTCATTATCAACTGTTTGATGTCCACACGTCATACAATTCATGACTGCCCTGTCCAAGCGTGTTAAGCCGGGACATACACACTGCGATCCCATAAGCCTGGTTTTCACGAGAGCCCTAGTATCCGGATCGGGAGCTAACCGTTAGCGTTAACCGTTAGCACCTGCGTGAGAACGCCCGAACGCTTAGCGCTAACCGTTAGCGGTAGCCGGATACCGCTAAAGGCCAACTCAGACAGCGTCGTACGACGCAGCCCGACGCGATTTGTTGTCGCGTCGGGTCTGTGTGAG